AATCAGGAAAATATCGTATGGCCGCATCGAGGATTGATTGTAGCGCTAACGTAAGAATCCTAACATGGTCACCTTGAGACCTGAGCCTGCAGTAATATAATTGACAATGATCCCAATTCCAAAAGGAAGATATGAAGTATTTTGTTCCAACGAAGACACAATAGGCAAATCGAAACTATAGTTAGCAAAACAACAATGTCTATGTCACAAGCAATGAGTGCAATTGGTCAAAAAATAGACATCTTCCAAGTATTCAAAGCGTACCATAGAGATAATAGGGAGCTTAAGATCCGAGGACAGCGACGGCAGAGAAAACGTCGCTGAAAAAGTGAATTCGCGTTCTTCCAATCTTCATCGCGATTACTCCAAGTCACTAACTTTGTGAAACGTAGGTGAGCCCTCCTAAAGTTGAATTCCTAAGAACCATATTCAAATTAAGAAAGAGGGAGGAAATTTCGTAGTCGCTTGTGTACTTCCTCTGTACAACGTGAGATTAGGTATTTTCACGTCGTAATCGTGCCGTGACGCTAAAGAAATGTACCAAAAAAAACGTGATGCACGTGCAAATTGTTGGCTTGGTTATTACACCTATTGCTTTTGTGTCGTTCTCGTTGCAGTCACCTTCGTCGGATCTTAAGGTCCCTAATGCCATTAAAACGTCAGTCACTAAAGACTAATGTTTGTCTCAGACTTTCCGCCCCGGATAATTTCAAGAAAATCAATGAAATATCAGCTGATTTTGAGCGGCAACCAGCAGCAGCACCGTTACAGTGACAAAGAGATCAGTAAAAAATACACATTTGCTAGATGGAGGGGGTGGGGGCTTCAACAAAGGCAAAGTAGACGCTAAACACGCTAAATTGCACGATCACTCTCAGAAACATGAGCCCTGTGAAGTCATGACACAGTTTTCTGAATGTGAGATAAGCAACCAGAAGAAAGCGAAAAGGGAAATGATAAGAAAAAAATAAGACAGCAAACAATTCAGTTATGTGGATCGTTTCGTGCAATGTCGCTACATTGATTTGTATCTTTAGTTCAATTCCAATATTCTGGGTCGGACATAAGGAAATAACCCCTGCCCTCATACAACAAAAGGAATTCATTCTGTACGGTGCTGTTTTTTTTTTACGATGCGTTGCTCACAATGGTGACATGACCGATTATGTAGTTATTAAAAAAAGTTACGTGAATTAAATTACGTTGGTGTGATCTTGCTGTCAACGGTGTACTATGATTCTATACTTTCGCCTTCTATGCTTTTGACTTAAAAGAAGCCTTGACGTTATATATCAGGCCAACATAGCACTGACTCGTGTTTTCGTACTTTTCTTCAACTCTGTTTAAGGTTTTGTCTGCTGGTTACCGTACCTTTATGAGCATGTTTTAAGCCAATGAAAATACAACATTTTCGCCCTAAATATAGTTATTGTAAGGGTTTTAGAAAGCACGAGGTACAGCCCTGCTGAAATTTCTTCCCAGGGTTCTAGGTGGGCCCGGCGTAAAAATTGATTCAGACCAGAAGAAACTGAAGAACAGTATCTGCTAGGCAATGATCATTCTTAAGAAAGCTTACCTATTAACCTATTAAGAATTTATTTCGAAAAGTTTATCTCTTAAACAAAATGACCTTTCACATTTTTAATTGAGATACGTTTTGGGTGTAAAAACACAAATTAATCACGTATTTCTATTAAAAAACATATACATTTTTCTTTCATATCCATCCATATTAGTGTTCATATCACATAACGAAGTAAAGCATGAATTAAATAGAGCAAGTAAACACCCCCTAATGAAATAAGCGTTCCTTCCTTTCAATTATTAGCGACCTTGCAATACCAAATACCTTATTATAACAAGATTATATAATGAAACCGCATAATTATTTAGAAGCTTTGTTGCGATATTAAAAAGCCGAATCGATTCGAGGTCGAGCCAGTGTGTACTTAAAACTTACAATTAAAAATTTATTTCTGTTGTACATGCGCGTTTTCCTATCCCACTGTAAGGTGTGACATAAATGTACACCGTCCAGCTTTTTAAAATTACTATTAACAAGCTTAAAGGCAGCGTATTGTACTATTCATTTTTATGCATTTACATTTAATTATTGCTAAGACTTGCTTTATGCTTCCTGTATCCTTTTTTGACGTTGAAAAGAAAAGATGAATGTATAAAGAAGGAACGTTACATCTTAAAACTTGACTCCTGTTAGACGAACAGCAACCATTAGGGACTTATCATCAAGTTCATCTTTGTCGATATCCAACGTCTTCTGCCCAAACTAGGCCTCAATGTTTTGCTCTTCAAAATTTTTCTAATATGTGAATTAGTTGCATATTTTTAACCTTTAGGCGATGTGATATACAAATAATTTGAGGCTCTTGCTGAAATTTCGATCTCGGAATTTCCATGGGACAACATCTCTACAAGATACATACTGGTTGAACGCACAAAGCTTTTACATACCAAATTAATCATAATTTCTTGTTAGAGAAAAGAACTACTACCGACATTTCATAACAACCTCAGGGTGAATAAAACGTTTTTTCATAGAGCTGCATGCCCACAAGATTTTTCAGTGTGATATGGTAATAATGACCTATTGCAAGGCCTTTGTTTGGAACTTTTCGCCCTGAAGTGTGGGTGATAAGTCATCTATCTTCTACCACAAGGTTCATTTCCTTTATTATGTTTTAATTATAAATGTGAAGATCATCAATTTAACGTCAAATCTTCGGCGTTGTTTTTTAAGGTGGTAGCAAGACCATTCCTAATGTCTCTAATTTAATTTTTAACATAACAAAAGGACCATTTTTGAAACAAATATAGTCGCAAATTGCATTTAACGTCAGTAGTTGAGCTATGTTTTTAGGAACAAAATTTGATTTACACCAATTGGGTTTGCCGCTTGTTGAAAGACGTTTTTTTCAATAATATTTTGGAAATTAAAAGAAGGGTTTATTTTGCGCTACCTGTTTTTACACTGATACGGTCTTCTCATCGAATGTGTTTTTTCCTGCAACTTTGATGATGACAAAGATAATGATATTGTTGATTTTTAGAATGCCGATATCTATCTCCTTTTCAACTACAACCTTGCCTCCAAGTATTCCCTAGCAGCTTACTGCGGGATACAAACAACTACAAAATTTTTGCAGCTTTCCGAGGGTCTCTAGTAACGATTTATTGTCTCAAGGCCATAAGATAATTGTTGGTTGATAATTGAAAAAAGATTTTTTTTGACAACATATGCAGGGTATGGTATAACATATACTTTGTGACGAGTAAATATGGTCGTTTTAGACAATCCTCACCACCTCTGTGTGGGTTATGGCTTATGGGTTTTTTTTTTGAAAAATAATCTAAACGGCCAATACGAAAGTTTGTAAACCACCAAAACGGCGTAATAAAGAGAAGGTCTACTTATTGTTTTCATGCCCTTTTTAGTACTAAAATTTTCCAACAATTAATCATCAACTACTGAAAAACGAAAAAAAAATATATACAATTATATAAATAATTTTAAAAAAAACGTAGTTACTGGGATGTTGTTATTAACTGTCACCTGCTTTGGGCGAGATAATTGAACTTGTAGCATTAATTTATGTTCCCTGGCCAATCTATAAATGAAATAATTCCACTTCTTGCTCTCCTGGGTAGGTTTGCAGAAGCCAGAAGTAAGATTTCTTATTTTTTTTAAGCAAAGAAACTTGAGTGAAATTAGATAAAACAGACACCTTTTGTTTTTAACTACGCGCAAAAGTTTCAACTTGTATTTGCCCTAATGTAAGACTCATTTTAATTTTGACAATTTGAAGATTCTTTAACCATCAATATTGGTTAAGCATTCTTACTATTTGCACGTAACTCCCTTCGTGAAAGTCGCATGAAATATAGACACAAAATGGTGGCAATTGTTTCGAATGAATTTGTGAAATGCACGTCTAAATGGTTGTCCCAAGAATCGTATTCAAGGTCACTGAAAGTTTAAAAGTTAAGACATAAATGCCACATTTGTGCAATGTTTGGAAGAATACTGAATGCCGGTAATGATAGTGAAAAATATTGCCTTTCGAGTGGACGGACTTAATCGACATTTCCAAATTACGTATTTATATTCAGTGCCAGCAAAGCCAAAAAAGTTAAAGATTTGGTCAGACGCGTTTAGGTTATGCTGAGTTTTTTTTATTCTCAACATTAAGTGTGATTTACGTTTCCCATGCTCCATTAAAACATAAATTACGATTGACGCTCTTCAAAGTATGAGCGTGAAATTAAGCTTAATGGAATAAAAGTTGATTGTTTGGAAACTAAATTTGCCATAACAAGCGGAAATAGGGCACATCTAACGACTACCCATGTGATTTACAGCAATCTCTGAATCTCTGTACATTAAGCATGGAATAAGTATTGGTAAGTTATGGGCTTAAATTAGTATGAAATGAATTTTTTTCTCCTTCATGGTTTTTCAAAATATGAAACAGGATGATATCTTTAAAATCTGAAAAAGACAAAGTTACTGTATTATATTATTTAGGCGAACGTGAGACACAAACGTCAGTGGCTCAGTAAAGTAACTCCCCTTCCGCTGTTTGTGTACGAGTCGATAGCTAAGAACTACATTCGTTCTTCGTCGTTATTTGTATATACTGAGTCATTTCTTTATAACTAACTATAGAAATGCAGCTCAAAACTTATGCTACGTTTCTGTAATATCAGGTGCGGGAGATATTTACGAGCAGGAAACTATAAAACACTCCATTTGTCTTTTGTTCGTTAATTAATTAATGCTCTTGCGTTATTTCCCATTAGGAAGCGTTTTATCTTAACTGAAGGCGCCACGCGCGGCTCTGTCAAACCTTATATTAAACCTCCCTTAAAGCAAAACGTATAAAAAGGCGTATTTCACTCCAGGAGGTCATTAACGTTTTATGCGGACTTTGCTATTAAGAAGTTGAAAATACTCGTAATTGAGCTAGCCTCCATTGTCTGAAATGAATTCCAAACTTACATGGATTTTTCTAGCTGTGATGCTGCTTTCCCTTGTTACCTGGACCAGTGCATTCACAGCCGGCGCCACGAAGCCACAAACTGGTAAACGGGAGTTATCAAGCGATCAGGAGGTATTCCACGTTTTCATGTCCATTACAGTCTTTTAAGCGTAAATCAAGCGTTTAATTGTTACAGGTAAACTCAACGATTTTCCATCAGGTAGTCATTCCAAAGGTTGAAGCGCTTGCGCAGTCATTTCCCGTCAACGGTTTGTAATCGGTCAGTAGGACCGGGTGAAAACCAATTTCCAGTCCTAATAAGCCTTGCTAGCTAAAAATAGCATCCAGGAGCCTCTATGAGCCCCTCGTTTGGTGCCACTTTTGAAAATATATTTTAAGCTTTCCAATCAAAATCTTCGCGTTCGTTTTTTATCAATGCAAAAGAAAAAATAACAGCCTTTGAAAAAAATTTCTCTAACCTGCCGCTCTGTCATGTGGCCTATCGACTTCTTTTGCCAGCGATTTCGTACACTGTTAAAGATACTGGAGAACTAGTTTCTCAACAGCATTAATTGCATTTTAACGAAAAATAAAAGGTCGAAGGGTTTCTCGCTTTCTAAACTAAGTAACTTCTATACCCCCAAAGCCAATTTTGGAGACTTACTTCATTAGTTCTAAATTGCTGAATTTAGGCAAAAGCCTGTGCTTATATAATTCAAACGAAATCTTCGCAGCATGCAGTTTTTCAGCACTGAGTATGCTAAAAGTCAACTTTCGATTGGCGAAAACAAATCTTCCTTACTAACTTACTTACTGAGGCCGGGAATCATCCCGAGCCATCCTAAAGATCTTTCCGCAAGACCTGATCAAGTATTGCACCTCTTATCTCTTTTATATTCTCTAGTTCAGTGTCAGCCTTCAATATGAAACTGAGATTTGTGAAAATCCCATGAAAATCACTTGAAAATACCATGAACATCATTTCATGGTTAATGAATCTTGCAAAATAATTTTTCATGACCTCATCTGTGGCTATTAAATTTTCGTGGAAAAAAAAGTTAAAGGTGTTTCACGGCCCATGAATTAAACTAGACTACTTTCATGAGTCATGAATTTCCAATGAAACAGCACATTATGGAAACATACCAAGAAAGTTCAGTGATGGAGCCATGAAAAACGTTTAATGGGCCATGAAATAAATACTGAATTTGATTTGTGAGTCATGAAAAATAAATGATTTCATGGCTCATTAATTTCCCATGAAAATGCTGATGAGGAAAGCAGTGCCACCGTGAATTAATGCCTTGAATAAATATTTAACAACTTTGCAGCAAGAATACTGCATTCCATAATATTTACAAAATGTACATGTATTCAATAAATGAAATAGTACGTCTTGGGTTGTACTAGAATTAGCTATACCCTAACGAAACTAGTACTTTGGGCAGCTTGATGGTGTCAATGTATGAAGTTCTTGGTCTACCTCCTCTTTATGATTAATTTAAAAGGGATTTTTTCCTAGCTGCAACGAAATTCAAACAAACCATATTTCGCTACAAGCCAAGCTGCCTAATCGATTTGTTGATAAAAAAAGCGGGCAAGTTGCCCGCTTTTTTTAGGTTAGAAATTAATTAGAATGGCTAATTCAGCAGTCGGTAGAAAAATCTTATCTAAGTTTGAATTGCGAATCAGTTTCAAGCTTTGATCTTTACCGATAACATATCTTTTGACCTTGATGTGCCCTTATAATGAACACAAATACATCTCATTCAAGAATGAGGGTCATTTTCTACGCCTCGCTGGAATCTGGGATCTGGATTTCAATTAAACTAGACATCAGTAGTAGACTTGGGTGAAATTACTAATCATATCGTGCCTGTTCAAAACCCAGAGATTTTTTCCAAGAATATGGTGACAGAATCTGTTGCTATGTCTAAAAGGTAATACACCGTAACGAATAATAACGCTTTCAAAATTGACCAACCTGCGACCTAAGATAATCAGGGACAAGGCATCAGGAGTTCGAAGCAAATAACCGGAAACAAGGAAATAAGGACACAGGATGAAAGAGGAATGCAAGTATCATGCACACTTAACTTCAAGGACAGCAAGAGATATATTGATCGATATTTTGAAAAATAAATTAAGCAAAGAAGCAAAATAAATAGATAAAAAAAATAAATTCCCTGTTTCGGACTGCAGTACTTCCCTGTCTTTTTTTTGCGACTCGTCAAGCGCTTAAAACATGGTTCAAGTTATCGAGAGTATAACTATACAGAAATGATGTAAAAGAGAAACAAAAATTACTTCCAGTTAGCGGAAGGTTTAAGTTATCAAGGGTTCGAGTTACCGAGGGTAAAATTACAGTACAAATTTGAAGGAAATCCAGGGGAAATCAAGATTTTTCGAGTTAGCGCGAGGTTCGAATTGGTGTTGAGGGCTCGGGTTATCGGGAGTCAACTGTATCTTTATGTGTAATTCAGTTCCCAACAGCCCCTGTTCCTCCTCCCTTGAAACATAGTGGGTCGCTCTTAACAAGGAACCTTGGTACACGACCTTTTAATTGAACATTTCTTAATCTATATTTTATCCTTTTTATATTAGACAGACTACGTACCGAGAGAATTGTGCGAGAGAGCCTATCCTTGTAAAAGAGAATACGGGAGAGGAATCTTTCGCAGAGCATTTCCAGGACCAGAAAGAAACAGAGTCGTACAGTACTAATGGCGAGATGGTAGAGATTAGATTTCTGGAGCTATTTTGGATTATGCATTATAAAATAGGTTATCTTTCAGAAAATAAAATGCTTGTAACTGGATTAAAAGTGGCTATGAAACATCATGAAATTTTCAAGAACAGCCTTTAACTTTGTATTCAGACTAGAGAGTTGCTTTTTTTTGTAATTCAACCTTAAATGACAGTCTGCCTCGAAAAGGATGAAACTGTTGTCTCACTCAACACAAATAAAGTAACGACATTGAAACGAACTTCAGTTGGAAAGTCAGTGTTGTTTATCATGATCATAGAACATGAAAGAAGCGCGCATTGAATCTTAAGGAATGTCAAGATGCGCCAGCCTTGCGTAGTTTTCTTTAAAATAATTTGCAAAATTAAAATAACGATTTTTATTATATAAAACTCTCGGCGTTAGAGATCACCTCTGGCTTTCCTTTTGATCACCTGGAATTGCCAAAAAGGCTTATTTATTATTATTTTTGCAACAAGAAAAGATAACAAAAAAGCTTGCTACCTTGTCCATTGCAAGAAACAGATATGACTCGAACACTTGTGTATCGTTTTCTTATGTTTGATCGTATCGCTCATGTGTTGAGGCATTACTGTTTGTTGTCCGTTTCATATGGGTTAGGGTTAGGGTTAGGCATACTACTGATGAACAGTTGCGACACGTAGATATATATTTTTTAGCAACTAATATAATTTGCAGTCTGTCTACTTTGAATTCATATGGGCGCGCTAATCAGTCTTTGAAGTCGCTTTGACTATATAACCCTGTAGCGTGCAAATCAGAACTTTTTAAATGAGATAACCTGTTTGGAAAAGGGATTTCCATTCACATTTCTGAAAGAAAGTTCACGTCAAATGTTTAATGAAGTAAAAGAATATTTCAAGATTCTGGCCTCCATATTGGATACGCCATCATGTATTTTCAACCGCCGAAATGAATCATGCCTAGTCAAGTTAAAAGATAAACTAGTTTTTAATTGTTCTAACTTATTGCGTCGACTAAGGAGGTGCTCTCTAATCGAGTCGTTTGTTGTTCTGTGATTTGGTGGGCAGTCTCTGCATGTTCCTAAGCGCGAGAAATCGACAAAAGAAGTGTTGGTTTATGACTAATTTTACACGTCACGTAATTGCCTGATTTAAAAAGAAGAACCTTTAAATTAATTTCGTTAGCTGCGTTAACGAAGGAGATGGCAACACTCCCTTATCGAGTCGTTGGGGGTTCTGTGATTTATTGCGTAGTCTGTGCATGTTATCGAGAAAAGAGGTTGTCGGTTCCAAATCTGCGCCATCTTTAAACGACAGAATAGCATCTTCACTTCTCAATACCATCATGCCCAGCGTATTCGGTAACGTTTCTCGCGGTTTCGCACGGCAACTTTAGCCTCAAAAACTAAAGGTGAGGTAAAATCCTCTTCTTTAATAAATATTTCGTAGATTATTCTCTCTGTATTTTTAAATACTTCGAAGGGAAATTTAGAGTCTCGGAAATGCCATTTCCAGGGGTTTTCAAGAGGTGCTCTACCGCGGATGCTATGCAAGACTGGGAACAGTGCCGTCGAAATGTCCCAGGCGTTCCACGACATCGCACGGTTCGAACGTTTCACAGATCTAAACCTGTTTAAATATGCGTTCAATGTCATTCAAAACTGGGAAACGGATGCTTTACAATTTTATTCGATGGTGCTTTTTGTTTGTTAGTAGTTATGGTAGAGGGAGATGAAAGTAGCCGGCGGTTTTGGTCGACTACCGGCTCTTATTGACAGCCCTACTCCCTCGAATCTCAGTATGCTGTAGATTGAGGTATCCTGTGATCTAAAATACAACTTTTACAGGGCAAACTTAAATCAATATCAATTTTAGCCCCCTAAATATAATTTCCCTATTTAACCCGGCGCCGATATTAGAAAGTTAAGACATTTATTTTTTATATATGAACTTGCAAATAACTACTCTAATTTCTAATCATATCTATCAATAACTTCATTGAATTCTCTTACATTCTGCAAATAAACAAAATTAAAACTCGACATAAAATCCGATAGTCTATACTTAAAAAAATCGTGGTAAATCGGAAAATCTCGGTTAACATTAAGTCAGTTTAATGGTCGGATAAAAATGAACGATACATAAGGAATTCAATCGTTTAATGAAAACTACAACATGCACTACATTTAAAACGGGAAGAACGCCCCTTACTGTATTATTTCCAGTTGTGGACTGATAAAAAGGACTTACGAGTCACTCTCATGCATTTAAGACAAACCTGGATTTTCATGTGGATGGAACATCAAGACTGACTGGTTTTGTTTCCCACAATCCTTCAAATTATCTGGGTAAAATATGTAGATATTTCACATAACATTAGATAACAAACTATAATTATATCTTGTGGCTGAGAATTTCGGTCATGAAAAACACCTTATATTTCACGTGAATAAGAAATAACGGTTATAGGGTTTTTGATCCAAAACATGCTGAACAAAAATATCTGGTGATACGAAATCCCTCAGACAAACCTACCCACCCCTCTCCCCAGCAATTAATTGCCTTCATGATAGTTCACAACTGGTTCACACCACATAATACTCACGCAAATAATTTAAATTGTATTTTCCGCTAGCAAAAGTCTATAGCAATAAGTAATTGTTTAGGGCCAGTCGTGCAAAATCCACAGGCGCTTTCCCTGGTGAAAAACCTTGCGGGATTTTCAAGGATCTTTGAAGATCTGCACAAGTATCTTATAATGATCTCATGTTATAACAGGTCCTGAAGGATCTTAAAAAGAAGATCTTCAAGGAATTGCTAAATAAATAACTACTTTCTTCTAAGATCAATTTCCCACAATTTATAGAATAAAAAAGACAGGGACCAAGAAGCAAAGTTGTGCACGCCGTACCTCTGATAAAAATAAGCAGAATTTTTTACTATAAATATTCACTTAAAATGTGAGATAACTTTGAGAAGCTCGACTGACACGCGACCCGACAGTGCCCTTATATTATCCACTTAGTTGTGCCTCAAATGATAAGAAGTTCTGGAGATTCCATTTGGTGGAAGTACATATTGCAACAAATTTGCTTGCATTTCTCAGTATGGCATTGAAAATAAAAGGGAAAGAAATCAACAAAATGTCATTTCCAAATTTACTCCAAATTTCTTTTATATGCAAAACGTAATTAAAAACAGAACAGGAAGAGATGGCTAAAGGTACCAAATCCCTTACGAAAATAGTTTGTATTTCAATTTTTTTCTTGATTTTGGAGCACCTACAATGGAAAGCTGCAGAGAAAGAAGGAATAAAAAAATTGTTTACAGATATTGAACAGTTCTTTTTTAAAAAAGAGCTGTTTGGTAAAGAACATTATCAAAGATTACAACTGATAAAAGCAAACTGATTACAATTGTTTCAATTAAGTGTACACGAAACATTCGTTGAGAATGAATAAATTTCTTTATAACAAACTGCATTGAAAGGTTTGCAGTACCTTTTACCAACTATTTTTCCGTCTTGGACTAGAAAGGTCTGAAACATGCACAGTTTTTTCGCCTTAACCCCCGATGCGCCACTATTTGGAAACAAAACAAAGCTAATTGAAATCTAGGTTTCAATATTATCGAAATTTTAAATCAACTTCATTATTTCAAGACTTTCTAAAGAAATCCATTATCGCCAACCAAGTTGTCATTCCATTTATACCGAGTCACAAATAAGAACACAACGTCATAACTTTACGTGCGCGTTCAGTATATTCTCAATGTTTCTTCCGACCTTAGTAGTTTACCCCGCAAAAAAAAAGAAACCTCAGTCATCGTAAAGAAGCAATTTTAGTTGTGGGTGTGTGGGGGGCAGGAAAAATAACAACTCTTTAGCGCATGATAAGCAAAATCAAATAAGCTAAGGGGGCAACTGACAATGATTTATCTTTGCTTAAAAGTTCCATTAAAACAAAGGCCGATAAATTTAACAGATTCAAATACGATTCAGTAATGGCATGGCACGGGTCACAAACACACCGTTTAAATATCACTACACATATACTAAATTACGAGTGCTTTTTCCAATCAATTTCTCTGTAGAGAGCCAGATGAATTGGTAGCATTAATTGCTTTGGCCGGCGGCCCATAGATTCGGAAGCGGAAAAATGTCTTTTCATTGTCGAATGCAAGTCATAACAACAATTGTGTGAGCTATTAGGTACCTTGAAAGTGCACTGTTTGAAAAGAACCGATCCTGAAAAAAACCCACAATCAACACGAACCATTATTGACAACAGGCATAAAAGGTGATCACCAACTCCCCTGTATTTCACTTTTTTCCGGTTGAATCGACCTGAAATTGACCCGGGTGCATACCAACTGTTATCTTTATAGACATGAATTCAAAGACTACTTTTCTACTCTTCACCGTCATACTTGCTGTTGTTTTGTGCCAGAGAATCGACGCTTTTACGGCTGGCGCAGGAAACATTAAAAAGAGGGATTACAACCAGGTAAAGCTCTACTCTACTCTATGCAACTTTTAAACAAATGTTACAAGAAATTATATCTCAAATTCAAGTACAACACAGAAACTAATCTCAAAATTCTTTCATAATTATTCGAACGTGGGCATCTATTTATTTACTAGCCCAAAAGCCCAATACTGACATTTGCCATATTTGAAGTATGCCAGTTTTCTTGCATTCGATACACACTTTCTAGTTTTCGCTCTCTTATTTGAACTCCCTAGAGTTGAGAAATAACTTGTATAACGAGATATTCATATAACTAGACAAAATGAGTTGATTTATAAATCTAAAGCCTTGACATAAAAGTTCACACGAACAAAATGTATTACTACTGGGCCGCGCCCATGAAATATCAGAAAATAGCATTGGACACTTCCTCACTGGAGAGCAAGTAAAAAAAGATGACTTTAACATCGGCTAATGAGCAACCTTTAACTATTCTCTCAGTTTTCCAACCTTTTTACGTTTTTCGTTTTCAGCG